TAACTGTCACCCCTTCATCTTTTTGCTCTACCCCCTTTTTTCCTTCTCCTCCTCCTTCTTCTATGGCCTCTATTATCATGAACGGCTCACTTGTACACTCTGCTCCTTCACACTCACACATGGCTAGATGAAATAGTTTTAAAGGATGACTCCAATATCCATCAACATACTAACACCAATATCAGTTGTCCATGTATCTTCCTTATTAGAGCCTCTCCCTTTGTCCTTCTAGCTCTCAATGCACACTTGTAAATGCAGAGATTCATTTCACATAAATGAATAAATATGCTAAAGGTAATATACTATTGCCACCTGCATGCTGAAGTTAATACAGATGCTGAAAAATAAATCACAAATAACAACATACCAAGTTGACAAATTAAACGAGATTTTTAAAAAAGAGAGGATGTTATTATTATCAGAGAACAAAATATTGTTGCACCTTAAAGACTATGACATTTATTTCAGTAATGTTTGAATTTTTGTGGATTAAAATCCACTTCCTCACTACAGGAGAAAATTCACTACAAGTAAGGTTAAGACAAGCACTGAGGTAACACTGGGCACACTGCTTGCACCAAAGAGGTAGTACAAGAATTTATTTTTTCCTCTGTGACCTGTGAGCCAGAAGGTGAGTCGGGGTCATTGCTCGCTAGAGCGCCATCCATTCCCCACCAAAGAGAAAGAGAGTGGAGGGAAATGTGGACTCCAGATGACCCCAGAGAAAGCCCCAGAGGAGTCCCTACCCAGGGCAGAAGAAGAAGCACTAGCTCAGGACATGATGGGGATGGGAGTGAGGGAACAGCAGTTGAAAGAGGTGGGAAAGGAGAGCAGGAAGAAGGAGGAGATAGAGGCAGGGGGAGGGGAGGTAGTAGAGAGGGGAGAGGCATTGGCCCCAGGCTGGGAATGGATCTAGCTGCAAGATCTTTGGACCCAGAATTGGGAGAGATTGAGAGTACCCAGAGAAGAGGTAGCTCATAGGAGAAGGCCAGCGATCCCTCTCCGACCATCTTAGTGGAGGGAAGCCGAAGCTAGAGAAGGAAGATAAGAGAGGAGAGAAAGGGGGCAGAGGAGGACAGACGTCAAAGGAGTGAATGGCGAGTACAGAAGATGAGGAAGATGGAGGAGTGGAGAAGGTCTGGGAGACATTGGATCCCGGGAGACATCCCAAGTGGAAAGATTTCCTTGGAGACACGTCTGTGCCCCTGTTGCCTATACAGACGGGCACAACGTTAAAGGAATGGACATCTCCAGAACCCTGGAATTCTAGTTATGGAAACCCCTTTCCGCCCTGTTGGAGGAAGGAGACAGAGACTTTATACCAGTTGAGGACAATGGTTTGTTAATACAAAAATAAATGTTCCACAGTTACCAATGCGAATGATGTCTGGTGAACTTATTGGTGAAAGGGAAGAACTCCGATCTCATAGCATCGAACCCTCACATGGCCCAAGGTCGTAACAGAGTTTCTTGAAAAAGCATAAGCCAAACCTGCACAATGGGGCAGCAGCAATGTTTGTGCCAGCTGGAGATTTCATGTTACTTTGTGAGCAGGGTTTCAGGCTCCACACTGTCCAAAAGGATCCTGGTCAAAATGTGCTAACGTTTCAATTACTACTTGTGGAAAAGTGCTCGTCTGTCAGCTTCTTCCAATTAGTGTAATAACTAGGCTTTCCAATGACTTTCAGAGGCTCAGCTTTAGAGAGCCTTGTCCCATCAAATCAATGTTATGAAATAAAGGAATCCATCTTATTCTGCATCAGACCACTTGTAAAATCACATAAAGTTGGTATCGCAGTGGCATCATGGGGGAATAACATTCAAGACTGGAAAAAATGTTATTCAAATATACTATTGTCCCATTGTTCTTATACTCTACTCTTCATCCAAGGAGCTCATAATAACTTATCAAGATTATCTCACATAGGCACTGATCAAGGCAAACTGAATTTGCATAATCTCTTCAGTTTTTTCCAACATCCTATGGTCACTGTCATTTAATAGTACTATAGTCATATTGATAATGCAAGTGTGAGAGCGGAGGTAAAAGTAAAATTCCTCTCACTGGTGTGCCATCCCTTCCGCCCACAGCAGAGAAAGAAATCCAGACTTTACCTGTTTCCCCTCCCAGAAAGACAGGACCGCCAGAGCCTAACCCAGGAAGAGCAGAGGAAGATTTGAAAGAACTAATGGTCATAGAGACCGGGAAGGATTTGGCGGGAAAGGAACAGAAGCCGAGGGTGGAGGTGGAAGCAGGATTAGCAGATATAAAGGGGAAGAAAGGGAGTTGTTGGTAGTGGATCTGGATGCAGGATCCATGGACTGGAAAGTGGGAGAGGCTCCAGATACCCAAAGAGGAATCAGATTTCCGGAGGAGAAGGGAGCTCACCCCCAAAACATCACATTGGGGTGAGAAGGAGACCAGAGAGTGGAGGAGAAAGTTAAGAGAAGAAAAGGAAAGGGTCAAAAGCGAGAGAAGGGAAAGATCAGAATGGAGAGTGAGGGAGTAACAGATGAGGGGTACCCAGAGGAATCTGGCAGACATACACCCCCACCCGGGTACCCACCTGGTTGGAGCTCCAGGATGAGACACAGTCCCCTTATTGGAAGGGAAAGCTGGACAGGTACTGAACCCCAATCTGTCAACAGACTGGTCTGGACCATGGAACACTGGAGGGGGAAACCCTTTTAAAGACGAAGAATGGAAGCCCCTTGCTGACCCGTTGTTAGAAGGAGATAAATGTTGGAATATATTTGCAGACACTGGTTTCTTGTTAAACAGAGAAATAAATGTTACACCTATTTTAAAACCCCGTAAGACTGGTGATTTATTTGGAGGAAAACAGGAGTCCGAACCCTCAAAGTAAGACAATGTAGGTTATTGGACAGAATGGAACAGTACTCACAGCTAAAAACATCTGTCCTCAGAAGATACAGTACAGTATAACTTCAATATAGTATTGAATAGGGCATAAAAGTTCAATATGTTAGCTGTTGGCAATTCTAAAGCAAAAAGCGAAGTGTGCTGCTTATATAGCGCCCCATAGCGCTTCAAGCACTCTCTGGGCAGTTTACAAGTTAATTATGCAGGCTACACATTGCCCCCCCCCAGCATTTTACCGACCTCGGAAGGATAGCAGGCTGAGTCAACCTTGAGCTGGCTACCTGAGATTGAGCACAGTTTTGGCTGCAGTACAGCGGTTTAACCACTGTGCCACGAGGCTGCCTACCTAAATAAACTTCTTCTATGTCAATCAGGGTATGAAGATTCTTGAGAAAACAACTTAGTTTTTCCAATATTTTAGCACAAATGCAAATTAAAATCCACATAGCTTATACGAATTTATACCATAATAAACATGTCAACCTTTCACTGGCCTTTGGGGTGTATGTGGGGGGGGGGGCTTTAGAAAAGGATTTAGGTACACTGATTTACATGTGAATAAATTCACTAAACTGAGGCATTAACTAAGGCTAGAATGCTATACAAACTTTCTGAAAATAGTGGGACTCAGTTCCAAATGACTACCTACCCCATGCCCTCTAAGTCAGTCTTTTTTGGCTGAAGTGCAAGATCAACTTAAGTTTTATCCTGCTACAACAACAATAAAAATCATATGCTGCCAAGTCAATTCTGATTTCTGGCAACTCTTTTCTGATTTTTCCAGGTAAAGAATACTCAGAAGTGATTTAGCATTTATGTCTTCCAAGGGTGTCCTGGGACTGCACAGCTTGCCCAAGGCTACACAGGCTGGCTTTACTCACAGGAGGAAGGAGGGAATCGAATTCCCAACCTCTGGCTCCACAGTCACATACCTAAATCACTGAGCAATCCAATCAGCAACTATCACAATTATGGGAACAGTATTAGTCCTCTTTATCAGACCTGTAGTAAGGATTATCCAGATTTTTTGGGGAGGCAGAAGAGTGAATGAGTGAAAAACTCTGAATATTTGAAAGGTACTGTGTAATCACTAAGCATTTCATTACATCTATAATGCTAAATCAGAAGCAACTTGCAAGCCACTTACTTTGTTTCAAGTATTTTGCTGAAAACTGGCAGAGTTTTATTTTGGCAAAAATAGTATAGGTTTTCATTTTATCATATTAGAAATGTCTGATGTCATCAGCCATGGAAGGCAGCCCATCTAGGAGAAGGAAAACTCCGATTTCAAACCTCCACTGCCTTGTGGCTATATCCACTCATGGAAAAGGCTTCAGGAGTTAACCTCGAGGCAAAATCCGGAGCTGGAGTCCCGAAGGCAGCATGTGTCGTTCTGCCAACTCCTGCGACATTGCTGGAACCAGTTGTATTGGC